ATCGGTGAAAGTACCAGGAGATCGACAGTGAGACACCCACTCACACACTCATACCCAAACACACACCCGCACGCGCGCAATCAAGCAAACAAACACGGCTGTGTATACTCCTATATAGTAGCGAAAGATTCATTCGACTTTGGGAATCTGTCGCGCGATTCACACACACACACACTCACATTCACAACACACACACTAAGACACACTCACACACTCACGCAAACACAAGCGTGCATATCCCTGCCATACCCTGCGTCAATCAGCTACCTCTCTCTCTCTCTCTCTCTCTCTCTCACACACACACACACACACACACACACACACACACATACAAACAAACAAACGATAGTGGTAGTGTTTATTTTCATGTCCTAGCGGTAGATTCATTCGATTTGGCCTATTCGACTAACGGGACTGTAGGGGAGTGGTTTGTGTGATTAGAGACTCATCTGTTTCTCTCTCCCTTCGTCCTTTGCCGCCTTCATAGTCGTCGTCGTCGTAGTGGTCATCTTCGTCGTAGTCATTGTTGTCATAGTCATTGTAGTAGTCGTCGTCGTTGTTACTATTGTAGGCGTTATACCCCCCCCTGGACATGGGGAAGCACTGAAGGCCTCTGCACAGTCCTTCGTAGCTCAAGCACGAGGTCCCAGAATCCTCGCCCATGACATCCCCATCACCGACTGCAAGGGGTACGTATCCTCTCCTTCCCTCTCATTATCTCCCTCTTCTTCTTCTTTTGCTTCTTCTTCCTCATCTTCTTCTCCTTCTCCTTCTTCTTTTTTTTGTGTGTGCCACCTTTCTTCTGCTCGGTCGCCTTCCCTTCTTCGCACAACCATCCCCCTTTTCTTCGCTTACTTCCATCACCTCCCCGCGCGGCTCTCGCTCCTCCCTATGTCACTTTTCCGCGTGCTGCTATGCGCCCGCTGTGTCGCTCATCGAATACTCAGCCCGAGCATGTGGACCGGAGTCTCGGGCTGCTGTGTTCGGAGTCGAGCAGATATCGTGGAAATGAATTTGCCCGACCATCCTATGCAGATTCACCGAAGTGAATCTTTCGCGTCTTGGAGTAGTCACGGAATCAGGAAAAAACGAGGAAATAAGAAATTATAAGGAAAATAAAATAAAATTGAAATTAAAACAAAAACAACGAAAAAAAAAAAAAAAAATAAAAAAATCCAACAACTAACGAGTGTCGGGTCTTTGCGTCATTCGATTTCTACCAACTCTAAAAACCCTATTACTGAGGTTGCGGGTTCGAGTCCCGGGCTAATGACCCCGGGTGAAACCAAAGAAAAGCTCCTTGTCAAAAAAGAGCTCGTTCGAGGTCGGATGGATTCGATCCCCGAGTCATCTGATTCTCAAACCGCACCGAAACCCACTAAGCTAGCTCCTACTTCGATTAGAGGAAGAGCAGCTCAGGTATATATTGAAGTGGGGCTCAGTCCGCCTAGCGGCCTGAGCATGTTTCTAAGTCTGCGTGCGTGTATGCCTGTCGGTCGGCATGCCTGCCTGAGTGCTTGTCGGCTTGAGTGTGTGTGCGACCCGTCAGAGTACTTGCTTAATTGGAAGGCCCGAAGGGCCGGTACTCAGCCGTGGCCGCGACATTGAGGGTCGCGGCGGGGAAAACACTCAAGTGGCGGGTAAGTCGGTACCTCACCAAGTAGAGGTAAATGTCATGAGTATCCGACTCGGAGGCCGAGTTGAGGAAGACAAAAATTGACATTTTTAGGTGCCCTAATACTGGTAGGTAGACATGTATCGAACCAAGTTTCAGTGTGTGTTGTAGATCTACCCGACACAACATTAACTCAATCAACCCCTCGATCCTTTCGGCCAGAGGGTATTACTGCTAATCCTAACCATTACAGCGCGCGTCATATCAACGCGCGCGCATATTCTCAAAATTTTCTCACCGATTCGCCCAGGCCTCAAAGGCCGAGGAAATCGTTTCAAGTGTGACGCTAAAGCGCGCACACACTTTTCATCCCTGACTGGTTCCGTCATGGTAGCCGACGTCATCGTTGTGTCAAATGCAAAAGCATGGCCAAATACCCTTGTAAGGGTATTTGGTCCGACACCGCCTCGTCCTATCCCCAATCATCCCCCGTTGAGCTTATTTTTCTGCATAACATTTTTTTTTTTTTTTTTTCCGCTGGGAACCTCCTTGGTCCTTGCACGGGCTGGCCACCTGGAAATCGGGCGGCCCTGCTGGTAGCCTAGGTCCGATGGACCACTGATCAGAATAGATACTACACTTGATCTTTGTC